TAGCAAAATCCTACCATACCTCCCGTGTCGCAATATCATCACGTGCTTGTCTTTGCTACCAGGTGTAGCGTGTGTGGGTGAGGGTGCCTTCAAACATAAATTACCAATAAACACACATTGTATTTAGTGTCAGGGAATTAATTGAGCTTTCCGGAATGAAAGCCTTTTGGCACAAAAATGATAAACCGAGGTTGACCTACCTGAATGGGTCCCACTGACATCAGCAGGTTTTTCAGTTGGACATCAGTAGTTGATGAAGAAAGCCCTTCAACTGACACAATACAGGGCTGAGGTTTGCACTCCACCACTCGCAGGTTCTGTTTATTTGGCATCAAGCGTCCTCGGCCCATCTGGCCTGCTACTCCTCTGCCTCTCCCGTGCATAATGACCTGCCAACAACAAAAGTTACAGTATTTTGATTTACTTACCTAGTGCTTCTGCTCACTGCATTTGACAGACGATACAAAAGTTGGCAATTTACTTAAAGACTTGATTAAAGTACGCGTTGATTTAAAACAGCTTGTTGCTGTTTGCTGATTTGAAAGGCCACTTATTAACATATTCATCCACTGCTTATACAAAACTAATTTAGAAGGATAGCAAGTTATATACTGGGTTATATCTATACATTGCATTGAAGCTAAAAGCCTCAGTCTTAGCACAGATCAACCAAGCAAAGGAAGGTCTCTGACCAAAATACATAACCTGGTTTTCAACATTGCTCCTGTAAGCAGCATGTGTTCAGCTCCCACATTTTGAGTCTGGCCAAAAAACCCAATCAGTGATCCCTCTCCCTTTTCTCTTCTCAACCCATGGGTAAATTTAACGTACCCATGAGACCAGCAAACTGCTTCAAGCGCCTCCAGTCTCTACTGCTATCAACTCTTGGGCTGTTATCAGGCTGGAGTATTCGTGTATGGCAACTAAATTTATAACAATGTTTTTCCAAAGTTCCTTTCCCCCAAATCCTGTAGGATCTGGTACCACAGTTTCCTCTGGAGCAGGAAATGTGTGGATTTAATTCTTGTAAATTAAAGGTTGAACAGTTGGAGAGAGGAAAAATAACAATGAAACAGGGTAACAGACATTAAACAGAGTTAACACTTAACATTGAGTTAACACTCAACATGGTTTCTTGATTCCTACTTGCAAAGCTTATGGAGGGTGATGACTTTTCACACCCCTCCACATCAGCAAGGAAACTTTATCCTGACATGAAGCAGGAAGATTATGGGCCAACATTTCAAAACCAAAAGCCAAAACATCAGCTATTTTCAGGGAGCATGCCAGTTTGCAGATGCAGAGAAGGCAGACGCCAGTGCCACCCAAATCCTCTCCCTGCCTCCTCCCAGTGCACGATCAGTGCGAAAATCCTGTTACAAGATCACCGATGACTTTGAGCAATGCCAGCTGTGAGGATTGACCAAAGAGCATCCTGAAACAGTTGCTGTGTGCTCCTGCATACGCAGGAAACAGCCAGAATAAAAACTTAAGTGCAACTTCAGAACAACTCTCGGGTTTAAAGTCAGAAAGCTCATTGGATGCCATCCCTTACAGTAACTATCTTGGGACGCACGCATTTCCCCCAGGGAGTTCCATGCTGGCCAGAAAGTCAGCAGATGAAACAACCTGCAGGCATCTCCAGTCTGTGCTGGGTACAAACAGGCCTCTCTAGATTAAAAGCTTTATATGCAATTATGCATCTCCTGGGTCATGCAGCCCTGCGCTAGCGATTGACAAACAGAATGCTAGTTATTAATAGAGCAACACAGCTAGACAGTAAAACTTCTCGCAGCAATATGCATCTAAAAATCACCTTTTTAGGTTGATGGATTCCCTGGATGTTTTTGACTCCTTGAGGAGCTGGTGAATGGATCTGTGCCTGCTGCTGCTGTTGGTGCTGCTGCTGTTGCATTCCCTTTGTCAATGTGACCTTCCGCACTGGCTGCTGTTTCGGCTCCGGGGGTTGTTGAGGCCACTGGGGCTGGCCCTCTGGGTGAAAAAAGCCAGCATCCTCTCCCCCCTGCTGAAATCAACAACACAACAGGCGGCTCAATGTCCAGGCACCGCAAACACTCATCCTGAGCAGCCTCCTGCCACATCCAGCTGGCTCAGCGCACAGGGAGCGCCCATGGGTTTGCCCGCTACAGCAAACCAGTGGCCGTGGCAGGCGTCTGCGTGGGCCAAAACTGGAAATTGTGCTTCAGCCTAAAATAAATCCATGGTATCTGAAGGAAGTTCATTTTGATTATAATAAAGGCTGAACAAAGTATTCAATAATGTCTTTTCATAAACAAAGAAGCAAGGTGTTTTCACGTCTCTTTCCAAATCATTCTTCCTTCCAGGATTACATGTAAACTATGGCGCATGGTTGCATTTTGGGGGTTTTTTTGGATTGCTTTTGTTTTGTTTTGGTTTTTTTGTTTTTTTTTAAAGAGAGACATACACATTGCAGAAGAAGGAGCAAAGAACTGCGAAGGCTGGAAGAACCAGGCAAATACTCTGCTCATCTTTGAAACTCCAACCTCTCTAGTTAAAAACCAGCATTTATTTGAAGCGCGTACTTATTCTGCCAACCTCCATACCAGCAGCCATTTAAGCAGTCTCCTTCCTCAAAACACTGTACTTGGAACAGTTCCTCCCCAAGGGGTTTTTTTGTTTGTTTGTTTTATAAAGCTCTTATTATAGATATTTATAATCACAAGCGCAACAAAACACCATGTCAGTCCCTCTCATCCAATCTCTTCCCACTAAATCTCTCAGGGCAAGCAAGCACAGCAGAAGCATAAGCTGAAAGCTCTAAGAGAGAAATTACTCCCTTCCACTGCCTCTACCCAAACAGTTCAGGTTTTTTTCTACAAACAGACAGGTGATTCTTGAATTTGTGTCCCGCTGTCCAGATCAGATCACTGCAATAACACCCCATGGAGTAAGAGACAGCAGAGCCCAACAAAAGATCAGGTACATTTGCATCTATAAAGCGCATCGTATTACCGCGTGGTTTCAACAGCAGTATCTATACCTTAACTGGACTCCAACTTTAGAAGTCAGAAACTAACGGACGTGATATCTGCAGGGGGAAGGCTTTGTCTAAGTCCCTAACCAACCTCAGGTCACCCTGCAAAAGCACTCAAATAGAAGGCATGTCTAAAGGGGGGGGTTGACACACACGGACGGACGGACACGATGACTTATGAAAACATCTTTACTTATATAGGGTTTTTTTTCCCTTTCCTTAAATATCCACAAGTCAAAACTCCTTTTGCATCTGTACCATATGTCATGAACCAGAGGGTTTCATACCAACTGGCATATTTCTTGCGGATAAGGAGACAAAATACAAGGCTGCAGAAGCAATAGGTTTATGGTCTAAGAGCAAGATTATCTTGATTGAGAATATAAATCATTACCTCTCTACCAGGATTAAATAAAAGCAAAAGAAAAACCTACTGAGGACTACTTACTAAGTCTCTTTGCTATCATTTGAAAAGAAATAGTCTGGTACAGGTGGCTTGTAGGATGGCCTCACGTTTGCAAGTTCCCTAATTCACAATTCACACCCCCCAAATCAAGTCCTCAGTATTATCAAGTATATGTAGGCAACAACTTCTCAAGAACTCAGCTACTCAAATCCCAGACAAACCAGCTTCATCACCCCCTTGCACCATCTAAACTTCAAAAGCAAAACCTGTCATAGGGAAAATCTTGAAGCTCTTCCCACTTAAGTGCTTTTGTCCACAGTGTCCAAAGCAAGAAAGCAATAGAAAACTGCATCTAGTTGCTCTACTTCTAATTACATATGGTTTTTTCTCTGCTAAACTGAATCGCTCCGTGGCTTTACAGAAAATTTTGTATATAAACCTTTGACAGCAGTAACTAGTGCAAAATTATAAAGCTTTCCCTTCAGAGTCTCTCCAATTACTGCTCAAAAATAAAAAACCAGCTCTCCTCCTCTCCTGAAAAACCCACACGTATGCACACAAACAAAACCTTACCAGGAAACCAGAATTAAATCCTCCTCATTTTAGTATTAGTTCCGATATCAGCATCACCATAAGCCCTATGCCCTGATCAGATAATTTCTTTTATTCAACCCTACAGCAGCTGGAAGAGGATGAAACTAAAAGGAACAAAAAAATTCTAAGAGGAATTTAAATGCAATAATTGGGAGTTAAAATCTAATCTCTGCTAACTGCCTGCTGTGAAAAACAACCATAAATATTTGCAAGCATTTCTTTCCAAACCAAAAGGTGATCCCAGCACATAGGAAGAGTATTTGAGAGTGAAGCCCTCTGGTACAAAACACATCAAACATGCTTATTGCTGAAACTTCAAAAGCAATCATTTCCCATAAAAGACTAGGATGGCCAGCAACCACCCAATATTTAACTACCAAGCCCAGTTATCACCAAATAAAACTGTATAAACTAAACACACAACTGTAACAGAGTCAAAGGCATAAGCACCCAACATTGGTTGACACTGATGGAAAAATGTGACAGGGTTTGTCCCCTGCTGGGCTCTCAAACGCCATCTTTGGGCTTCACTGCTAGCATGATGCTCCTGCAAATGTCCGAACGGGGCTTTTTAATGAATTATTACATTTCAGAAATAAGAAAACCTACACAAAACAGTAACAACAGTCCATAGGGTAAGAAAAGGGGATGGAGCAAGGTCTGCTTGTTCCTGCAACAAGAAGGAAGAAAGGGCAACTGGATCAAATCTTTTATTTATATTACTGCTCTGAACATCTACTGCTTTTTGAGATGACCTGAAGAGGGGAAAGCTGAGATAAACCTGCAGCACCACTTCTCAAGAGAGGTCTGTGAGCAAGCAACTTGGTGCTCAAGGACCGCCCGTGCTCCCTGCACGTCAGCAATACATTGCTTCCCGTTAAGAGGCAGCCCTGGCTTCAGCTGAAGACAAAATTTGGTGGTTTTCTTAAGAAAATGAAAACCAAACGTGACTCCTAGGTCACTATGTGCCTAACAAGCAAAACGACACTGCCTCAGATAACAAATTTTAGCACCAATTCTTTTTTCACTAGTTAAAGACATGACAGAGCAAGGACAAGTGCTGTCCAAGCCAAAATTAACAACCTATCGTAGTAGCATTTAGTGGCAACTTAGATTCACCACCACCTTTAAACTTCTATGCAAAGGCAGTCAGTGGCTTCTTCAGGCACATCAATGAAGAACTAAGTCAAGCAAAACACCCACAAGAGCTTTTAACGCCTGGACTTAAAGCTATAAAACCTCAGAAGAGCTCACATGAGAACATTAACATTTTGGAGGAAAAGACGTGTGATTGTAAAGATGACTCTACATACGTTCACTCCTGATTTTCACTCATGAGGTGTACAATAAGCTGGCACCCCGAAGGTAAATCAAAACAGACGGCAAAGCTACAGGCAAGCAGGTAACTGAACTGAAGCTGCATTACAGAAGGTACTCAAAATGATGTCTAAATCACAGATGCTAAATCACTAGCATCTCTTCTACTTAAAATGTCTCTGTTCCAGCTCATCTGAAATCAACTTTTGTCTTTCCTAAGGACAATTTTTGTCGTGCTAATTTTTCATTAGCTTACATCACTGCCCTCACCAAATTTAAACATGTAGCAACAGAAGAAGATATTAAAATTTTAAGTCTTCTCTTGTCAAAACACATTTTTATGTGGTTTTTTCTATAGCATTTTGGGACGTACAGGGCAACACTAAATTTTTCAGAGATGCATCTATTCATCACCATGGCCCGCCTCATGCAATTTGGTGCACAAAGCGCTGAAACCGGGTAGAAAACTTCTCAGTCCACCACAGAGACCTGAGATAGAAGCTCTGCTTTTCCAAACTCTGCAAATTTCTTCTGAAGTGTCTTTCCATTCTCTGTCTGCAAACCAGTAAAGGAAGAATGTTTTGCTGTTATTGTCTACTGCTTGATTTCTACAGTACAGATCATTCTGACCTTCAAGCTCTGAATTTCCAAGTTTTATAAAAGGTCTACCTTCCTAACATATATAGTCAGGAAAGAGTTCTCCTGAATGAAACTTTACCATTATTTGATTAATTCTAGGGTAATGAAAACGCCTTTTCTTCAGCAGCAGGAGTTCTGTTCAGGGGAAAGTATAAAAACTATCTTTCAAATTTTAAGTACTGCACAATTGTTAGCGGTGCCAAAAGGACAAGTTAATTTCCACTACTGTGTGCAATTAAACAAAATTCAAAAGATCGAGGCAAAAGGATTTGATCTGCGTGATGAATGGTTTTCAAACTTCTACTGTGGAAGAGCCTGCACAGTTTGAGCTGACACTGGACTAACAAAAAAGAGAAATCACACCAATTCTCTGATACTTATCAAGGCTGGTTTTGAATAGTGAGACTGTCTCACTATACATATATATACCCATATATAGAGTCAGTGTTGTGTTTTGAGAAACATAAAGACCATTCTGTCAAATATGAGATCACAAATTCTAAAAGCAGAATTTTATGAGGGACTGCTTGAATTTAGTGAGCTGAAGCTCTCTATCATAATCATTATGACAGTTTTACAATGAAGATGAAGTTTATTTGCCACCAACATTAGCAGGACAAATTTATTTATAACAAATGCCTTAAAGTGTACTGATAAAAATGCCTATTGATACTGTCAGAGCTGCTTGCAATTTGACAGATCAAATCTTATTTTCATTCTTAAACCCCATGAAGGAATGGTATCACCAACTTGCATTCTGTAGTGAGCAAATTGATTAATCCCCCTCTATAGAAATCTCAACTCTTGATTACACCTATCAGACGTTAAGCAGCATTATTCTAGAGTGACAACACTTGACAAATTCCCAAACCATTTTTCTCAGCCTTTGTGGCCCTGCTAGCTTGTATTAACCCTGATGAAAAATTAATTTTCCTTATCTTCTGCTAAACCCCAAAATCCAAATCCGCCAAACTGGCAACTCTTTCTGTAAAGGTATTATGAAAACCTCTAAAAGATTAATTGCATGTCTTCAGGTGACATTAAATTAATTTCT